ACAATCATATTTTTCTCATTTAATTCATTCTACTTTTTAGATACTGATTATCAGCAAGTGTACAGTTGGTGTTGTTTGCTGAGGATCCAGTGCTCATACTTTTTATTACTCTGGCTAAAATGGTTGAAGCAGTCTTCCTTGTGCCTGAGTTCTGTGTTTTTTTAAAAAATTACTCTCTCTTCCAAATCTTAGTCCTGAAAAAATTCTCATGTTAACAGAAGAACTAATGTGGCAGGATTTTTTGTTCTTTTTTTATTTTTTAAATATAATTTTGGGTTAAGATTAAACTACAAAAAGTATGGGCAAATTCTGCTTTCAAGGAATGAGCTATCCATAGCACATAAACAGATATGACAAGAGTTGAGGCTGTGTGAAGAAAGAGCCCTGGGAGGTAACAGGTATGATGATTTCTCAACAATCATGAGGTCAAGAGAACACATCTAGACAGAGACCAGTCATAGGGCAGTAGCTTAACAGGGTGATCTCCCATGGCCTCAGGGTGACTCTGCAAGCGGCCCTGGCTTCTATTTCTCTCTTCCAGAGTTTCTAATAACTCTGTGCAAGCTTTCCAAACATACATAACCCTTTGAGAGGTTAATTATGAGAATCCCACAACCATAGTCCAAAATTTCTCAGAGAAGTCCAAACACTACATTCAAGGCGCCCTAGTCTAAAAATATACCAAATATAGTTCTGCCATTTTTAACCATGACCCAGCTAGTTGGTATAGATCAAGCATCCGAGCTGCAATGCTGCATCTCTCACCACATTTCATCCCAGCCTCTCTAGCCGAGGTGCATCTCTGCCCTGCTTTATTCTCAGGTTTGGTTCTAGCTCTTGCCAAGAGACAACAGCAGGCTCACCCCTCATTGCATCATTATCCTCCAGCTTTCAGCTCCTTGGGATCTATAGCATCATATCATTGGCCCTTTTTGCTGCTCTCAGCCTTCTTTCCTCTTTGGTCATGGCTCTTTGGCCTGGGAAAGTTTGTAGATGGCCCGTAATTTGGCCCTGCTGCTCAGCTAGGGAACTCTCACTGCTCTCTCCTTCAGGGTCATCTGCTCTTGAAGCTCTCAGCCCCAGCTCTGTTTCTGAGCTCTGTCCCTCTATGCTCTAGCTCTGGGCTTTCCTGTACCTTTGGGCTTACTCTCATTTGTAACTCCCAAAGGCAATCCTGCACGCCCCTCCCCCATTTCACCAAACTATGCATTTGGACTGGAACAGGCAAGCTGAGCTTAGATATCCTGTTATGGTGAGCTACAACAGACAACTGAAACTATGCCAAATGTGCTTTTCCTATGAAAAACAGGAATCAGTACTTTTAACTACAAGCCTCTTCAACCTTTTCCCTTATGGCTTCATTGCCTGTCTTCCCACACTATAAAAAATAAAAAATGCTGATTCTCAGATATCTACGAAAAGTGTCACTTCAGTCACTTTGCTTCTTATTGCATTGAATTCAGATTTTTCATCCATATGTTCAAGGTTCTAAGTTATAGCCTTTCTATCAACTTTTTCATATCCAGCTGTGCCCCTAGTTTTATTTTCATTCTTTCCAAGTCAGGTTCTTGAATAGGCCCCATCTTTCAGGGCACATCTACATAGCAGGGCTAAAGCTGAAATAAGCTATGCAACTTGAG